ACACACACACACACACACACACACACACACACACACACACACACATGTTTGTTCTTCTGTCTTCATGGGGACTTTGCACTGACTTCTATTCATTCACCAGTCATTTCAATAGTCTAACCCTACCACAGTTAGACAAGCGCCACAGCTGATGGACCAGCACTGTAATTCCAAGATATACATCTAAGCTAGAAATAAACAGTCACTAGAAGGAATTCTACTAAATAATCCAAACATTTCTTTTGATTAGATTAGTCCCAATGTAAACATCCTATATACACCAACCGTTCCACATCCCCAACCATTCCCGACTCCTCCCCTAACCCTCCTCTGTCTATTCCTTCTTTTTCTGCACCCTCCTCCCTTTATGACAAACACTCTGACAGGGTACACACAGCACCCACACCCACCAGACAGCTATACATGTACATCTTACAGCACATACAAATCAACAGTCAGTCTCCAATGTTCTCTTGGAACAGCTGACTCCACCATGCACCTCCCAGGACCCAGCGGCCCAGGGCTGGACCCGAATGTGCACCTCCTAAGGGATTTACCGAGTCTGTGGTGCCATCAGGCGGCATGTGGGAGTGAGAAACTCTCCTAAACTCACCTCTTACTTTAAACCTAACCTCACAGGTACATACCTGACCCTACACTTAACCCAAAACTCAATTTACATGTTAATCCCAAACCGAACCCCTGATCCACCAATGGTATTTCCCCCAATTGGGACTGGGCTTTTGTCCCCATAAGGAACAATGGATCCTCACCACACTGTGTATAATGGGAAAATGGTCAAAAATCATTCCCACCAGGTAGCAAAACAGGCACACACAAACACACACACACTAGAAAACATCCAGTTCCACCTTTATTCTCCATCTCCTGACTACTCAGTGCTCTTACTCGTCCACAAGGTGGTGACAAATATTTAAGAAACTTAACTTGGGTAAAACCAGTGTTGCACGTTTTTCTCCACGTTGAGCCCTTTAACCAACAAACCATCTCTTCCTTAGGTAGCTTTTGGTCAAGAAAAATGACAACTGTTTTCCTGTTCTCCACTAAAACACACATTGAGAAAAAACGAGTAGTAAATGTAAGTAAGAAAAACAAGAGTGTTGTTTTCATTTACCCAGAGGAAAAGGGCTGAATACATTTAAAAAAGGAAAGCCAATGCATGAATATAGGCACACCCTTGTCCTTTGTCAGCTTCATGCATCTCCCTGATTGTGAGAGCTCATTCATTCAAAGCAAGAAATTCTCCTTTCCTCCCACATTCCAGGTTCACCATAGTCCTTTGTAGGAAAAAAGATGACCAAAAATAACCCCTAACTTAAACAAAGAAACATCCATGATGACAAGGGATTTGAGTTCTGTTTGTTCAAATTCAGTCATCTGTCTCGATTGAGAAATCATCAAAAGTTGGATTACAGGGATCACGTTGAGAGTGGAAAAATGTTGCTTCAGGCCAGGAGTGACAATAAATGTGGTAAAAGCTGATGACGACAGACTTAAATAAAATAAAAATCTTTCAGTGTGGCAACACAAGCTTTAATTGTGTCATGATTGAGTATTTAAGCATCTGTAAGTACATTTATGGAGCTGCCCAGTGCCCTCCCGTCTCAGGAAACACAGCCCATGCAGGCCAGTGTTTTTACGTAATGGGTGCAGGAATGCTGGAACGTTGCCTCGTATTTCTGGATCGGTTCACTGATGGGGCCCTCCATCCCCCTTAAAACTCATCTCAGCAGGCTACATCAGCAATGATCTGTCTGTAAAATATAGAAATAACTTAAAAATTGGCCACAATAGATTATGAATTGTTTTATTTCTTAGAAAAAAGTCTCTGAGGCACGAACATGACTGAATACAACTGAGTAATAAATTATACCGACAACAACTTTACACATAACCACAAAGCCTGTTCTTACAGATAAAATGACAATATTACAATAGATGGAATGTTTTTTTTTCCTCACAGGATGTTGGGAGACATTTACACATCAGGTCCTTTCACACTTCTTTTGTAACAGTTGGAGGAGCCAGACGGGCGGAGCATCAGGTGTGTTTCTAAAGTTTTAGCACTTCATCAGTCAGTGGGTTAGGATCCACAATCCACACACAGGAAACACATGAAGCCACTATGAGGACATGAAGTCACTTCAATGGTGGCTTGTGTTTTGTGTAAACACAAAAAGTGGTTGGGATCAGCATACAGTTCACCTCCACTGGGGAAAAAAAAGTATTCCTAAGTGACTGTACGTCTAAACTGTCTGCAAAAAAAGGTTTGAAATGTCAACAAACGAGTGAAAAATGAGCAACAATCTTCATCTGCATTTTAAACACACGAGTATGGTCTTATTGCATCTAACAATATACTTCAAATATCTTTTGAGACGTCACATTTTGAGCAAAGGAGAAAAATACTGATAGAGTCTCTCTGGAAACTACACTGACACTGTCACACAACTGGTATTGCACTGTCTTTTAAAACGAGCTCAGCAGAGGAGCTTCTTGCTTCCTTTTGTCGACGCGGGTCATGAACTTGCGGTCCTTCCTGGACGCTGCCACCTCAGGTTCAGCTGCCCGCTCTGGGAACGTCAGGCGTACGCCGCGACCGACACGAGGATCTGCAGAGCCATGGAAAAGCACGGTATCTGCGCCACGACGTAGGCCAGGGAGCGGGTGGGCGGCTCAAGGGGCCACAGGTAGGCGACGCTGTGCAGCACGCGGCAGATGAAGAAGACCAGGAAGTGGAAGCGGGCCACCGACAGCGAAGGTCCGATCAGGGAGTAGACGGCACCCAGGAAGAGGAACGGGAGGATGTTCTCCAAGTCGTTTTGATGAGCCCTGGAGGAGGAGAGAAATGGTTTAGAATATGAAAGAATGTGAGACGAACACCCCTCTGTCCTGCTTGGCCGGTTTTGCTCGCTCTTCACCCGATGAGTTCTCCCCTCTCTCTTTGTGTCGATGGGTTTTCAGATCCGGATAACCTGGAGAGTGTTGAGCTTAAAACAGTATATGTCATTCAGATGCAACCAAAACTTGTTGGAGATACACAAATTTGGAGGAAATATGTTTATTTTATTTGTAACCATCCTGTATCAAAAGGTGACACAATTTCCTTCAAAAGATTTGGGCTAAACCTCCCAAGGAGTTTGTTTAAGAAATGTATCCAAGTTGAAAGAAAACTTTATTTTTATTTATTTTTTAAATGAGTCAACAGTATTATGCTGTATATTGGATTTGATCCAGTCAGAGGGGCTGTAGGTCTATAAGGAATGTGTTTTTAAAATCATTTTATAATGTTTACGTTCTAACTCATTAGTACTCTGTATTGTACTCAGTATCGGTTGGTACCCAAACAGAAGTACTCATACTCACTTTGAGAAAAACTGGTATCAGTACACCACTAGTGAGAACAGTGGAAACTTATATCAGCAGTAATCCGATGTTGGTCATTTTTTAGCGTATCGGCATCGGTCAGATAAGTAAAACTGGGCCAATATGTAATGACTGAGTGTACGAGTTTCACTGACTTGCCAGACACCAGAATAGTTTTAAGGTTTTTATTAAAATGTAAACAGCTGGATCTGGAAGCGAACGTCACAGGAATCAGGAGTTCTACACAGGAGAGAATTAGGTTAGTGGCTAGAAAGTTCACAGGAACAGATTTAGTAGGAGGTTTAGCCACTAACTTTTTTAGAGTACAGGACGTCCCAACAGCACTCTTAAAAGACTTTGAGAGTCTTGGATGAAGTCCGGTGAAAGCACTTCCGGGTTGCGAGGCTTGAGTGAGTTTACGAACTCTGGGTTTTTCCGTGAGGCAGTCTTGGGTCTTACACATGTGGTCAGAGATCCGAGACAGGTACTGAGGGCTGGACTTTACTCGTGGTCGGTGTACACAGGCGTGGGTCAGAATCCGGGAGACAGATGACTGAACAGGTCCGACAGGGGAAGCGACGGGAGGTAGAGGTCCAGAGAGGAGTGCGTGGGTCAAAACCAGGAGATCAGAGTCCGATACAGTACCGTTAAGGGATGAGGCAAGGAGCGTGAATCCAGAGAGCAAAATCAAGGTCGTAACGAGGCAGGCAAGACGTGACATGGATGCTGGATAACTACTAGGAAAAACCGTTCATAAATCTGGCACTGGTGATGTGGGAGAGTGGAGTTTAAATACTGCTGTGAACAGGTGAGTGACATGACGCTGATTGGATTTTTCTGTGACGGGAGGGGTGAGACAATGAGTGAAGGCTTGGCTGTGACTTGACTTGGCAGAGAACAGGCTTAATTCATGACACAATATTAATGTCCGATATTGATTTCCCACTTGTTGCAGTTTGTGTTTCTGTTTCGGGAAGGGAAATGGTTGTGTTTGATCATGATAACAATAATAATGGCACAGCCAGAAGTAACTGAAGTAGAGAGCCATGTCAGTGGTCTGGTCGTTTTTTATATTGATGCATCCCTACTACTACAGTCCTATTGTTTAATCTCCTTATTAAAAGCCATTTCACTGGCAGCAGGGAGATAGTGACACAGCATGTACATGTGTCCTTTAAGTACACTAATTTTAAACTGAAAAATAAGAGTATACTTTTAGATTACGTCTTATGTACATAACAGAAATACCGAACAAAGTTCATGTTACATATACTTGGGTTATACTAAAAACATACTAAAAGTTTGGGAATGTATTGCTTATGAAGCTGAGTTTCCCTGCAACTCCTCAGACTGAAGGAGTCCCTTGGAGAAAACTGTTTACCTTTATTATTTAAAAAGGAAAATCCCACTGAGATCACAGATCTTTTTTGCAAGGGAGGTCTGTACCTGAAGGCAACATATTGTACATGTTTTGAAAAGACAAAACGTTTCCACAAAGAACTCATCCAGAAGACCTACTCAACTTTTTTTAGATACTGAAAGTATACCTAATTATAAAAAAGTATACTTATGGACATGTACTTAGGGTACATTTCTCTTTGGTGAAGTAAACTCTATCCACACCACAAATAACTTCAAAAACAGAGATTTTCTGTTGCCTTTGCACCTCTTGCACTACAAAGTCTGTGGTGAGGAAAAATAGACTCACTGTTTGGTGTACTAACTATAGATTTGAGAAATAATGTTTTTTCACAAATGATGACGAAGCAGCTCATGCATTCTGTGCCCAAGAATCTAAGTCAACAACGTAGGCGTTTTTCCTGGATTTTTTCCTCATTGTCTTGCTTTAACTTGATCCTGCTGTCGTCAGACATTGATGGTTCGCTGGAGATTATTACTGAGAGGAAAGTGCAATCAGTGTTAAAGAAAACAAAATGTGTCCATAAAAGTCTTATCCAAGCTAAGAAAAAAGATTTTTCTCTGAATCTGGACAGGTCTTTGATGTGGACATTGTTGCCACCAAATAGGAAGGAAGGGCTAGTTTGACATTTTTGTTTGGATGATGGTTTTTAAAAAGAAAAACTCATCTCATCTCATTTTTTTTCTGTGGCTAGTATGCAGTTCTTGTAAGAAGTTTAACAAATGGTCCTGGAAAAAAAAAACAAGGAAAGTGTATTTTCTGATTAAAAGGAACTGCAGGAAATTATGTAATACACTGTGATAATAAGATAATGGAAAAAGAGTTCACATCCACTCCTACTATGCTTTTAGCAAAAATTTCTTAGGCTATCTGCCACCCATTCATTGCAGACACAGCTAAAGAAAAGTGACCAGACCTAAGAACATGTTAGCTGGATTCATTCAATAAGCTTAATAACAGCTCAGGACAGTCGGAAAGAGAAGTGAATCTTTCACAAGCAGGAAAACATCTGTTCTCCCTCATTTCTCCCCCTTCCTTTTTCTGACAAGTTAAAACAAACCAGACACAAACCACAGGCTGAAAATCAGAGGACAACATGTGAGTTCTATCTGTGGGGAAAATCCATCAAAAAGAAAAAAAAAACATTTGCCTCAAGTAAACAGAGGAGTGAAGCTATATTGTGGAGTTTTAAAACTTTTCCAAAAATGCCCAGAAACTTCAACCAGTCCGGAGTGTGATCCCCCCTCACCTCCTGCATCTCTCCACATATGGGTCCTCTCTGTAAAACTGCAGACCTCCGTGTCTCAGCGCGTCCTCCGGGTTGGCAAAAGCCTGTAAGGAAAAAAAAAATAACGATTTGAGTGAAAACAACTCGGAGCTGAGGTCAATGGGTAGAAAAGCAAAAAAAAAAAAAGTGTCTCACTTTCTTTCGCAGCCTGACTTGTCCCGTGATGATGGCGATGACGTACATTTTAACCACCAGAAGGACGGCGTAGAAGACAAAACAGGAGAAGACCTCGTTCCTTATCATGACTGCGGCGTGTCTGCAGGGAAATCACAGCTCCGCAGCTGCTGCTGCTGCTCCTGCTGCTGGAAAAGTGAGAGTTTGCCCTGGAGCGAGGACCTCTTTTAGTGTTGCTGCCTCCACCCACAGAGATGACGGGTTGAGACAGGCGGAAATGGTTCATTCATGACACAGAACCTGCTCACTTATGTGCCCAGAGGTGGGAAAAACCCACATGGTAGTAAAAGTTAGTAATGTTATATCCTCTGCTAGTGACTTGGGTGTAACATTTTCCCCCATTTTATTCATATCCAGGCAACATTCCTTAAAAAAATACTGTAATCCACCCATTTTCTGTACATGCTAATTCCTTTCAGGGTCGCATGGGTCACTGGTGCCCATATCCAGCAGTCACAGTGCGAGGGCCGGGGTAGCCCACACCCTGGACAGGTCACAAGTCCATAACAGGGTCACGCATAGAGACAAACAATCATTCACTCTCTCACTCACACCTAGGCTCTATTTAGAGTTATCAGTTAACCTAGCAGTCATGTTTTTGGTGTGTGAGAGGAAGCCAGAGTGAACCCACGCATGCACGGAAAGAACATGCAAACTCTACCCAGAAAGATCCCTGGGCCTGGATTTGAACCGGCGACCTTCTTGCTGAGAGGCATCAGCTCAACCAACTAAACCACCGTACCACATACAGCAGGTAAAATAAGTATTGAACACGTCAACATTTTTCTCAGTAAATATATTACTAGAGGTGCTAATGACATGAAATTTTC